CACGCCGTTTCAAAAAATGCGAACCACTGGTTTTAAAGTTTCGCTGCGTGAGAAAACAGAACAACTTCAGGCACATAAACGAAAACACATACCTGTGTTGAGGGCGACTGCTCTGCACTGTTCTTGCATCGCGTCTGCAGCTCGTTGGTGGCAGGTACGGAAAGTGCGCTAATTGGATCGGCCGGATCGTAAATGTGGAACGGTCGCAGGTTTGCTGCGACGGCACTCGATGCTTTCTCGGATGGCTGTTTCGCATCTTCTTGCAGCAAACTGAGAATATGGGAAGGCACGAATGGATTCACCAATGGACCCATCAGGGATGTATGTGACAAATGTGGCATTCCACTGCTACTGTACGTGGTCAGATCATACGGCAGAAAACCCTGTAAAAGCTACTTGCGGCTGGCTTGCTGATGATTTTTTTATGTTCAGTTTAGGGAAAGGACAAATGACTTCCAAAAAAGAAGCTGAATTTTCCTTTTTAAAAAAGTGCATTAACAACGGCGTCTTTTATATTTTATATTCAGTTGCTTTTACATGCTTTTACCTAAATCAAAAGTAGAGCAATTCAGTACACTCGTACGAACTCTTCGATCATTTCATTCCGAGAACTGAAAGGATGAAAGTTCTTTCTCTTATATTATTTTATTTTAACATATCAACAGAAATACTGTTCTGATTGGATAAGTGGTCATGTCCTCGAGCCATCATGCAAGCTTCGCCATATCCCGATCACCGCTCTAGGCCCCAGTTATGCTACTCTAGAACGAAGGAAGCCGAATGTTTGAGATTTAGAGAAGCGAACAAACTCAAAAATTCAATTCATCATGTAGTGTGTTATTGAGTAATCTGAAAACAACTTTCAATCATTGGCAACGCGCACCGGGCGGGTCCGTGCGATTGTGTGTTCTAACAATCTTTCGTGCTATACTAAGATCGTTTGAAATCCTAGTAGCTAAAATTTGTGACTTACTGGCTCTTAAAGTTGATGAAATTAACTGCGCGCCTACGTGTTACTTGTACAGGAACCATTAAGTTAGAATTTCAAACTCCCAGCTTTTCTAGTTCCCGAGTTAGCGGTTTTTCTGTTAAAAATTCTTGTGCTCGTACGCGGGCCCAGAAATGCGTGAAGATTGGTGCCGGCGTCCTGGAGTGGTACGTGGCCGGGAACCCATTGACCAAATTTTGGCGCTGGAGCCTGCTTGGTTGCCGAGTTGAAATATCCGGACAGACAGACAGACAGACAGACACAAACATGCACACACGCACGCCGGGACTTCACAACATGTGTTTTGCATTTTTAGTTTGTAAAAACGCATAAATATGTCCAGCGCACTGCGAAACGGATGCCTGGTACCTGTTCAGGT